AGTAATTGACGAGGTTCAGGTGCCAGAGAGAGCTAGTTTAAAACAAGAAGCATATGTGTCACAAAAAGCAGGATCATCTATGATTTAGTAGGTTAAGGGTAATGCTAGGCTAATTGAGGAGGAGAAAAAAGGAAGAAAAGTAACATTACTATTAACTAACCTTTTGTTTTCAAACATGGTTGTATACAGTATTTTCCTTAAATACGAAAATAACAGTTACTTGTTTGCAAAATAACTCTTATGTTATTGTCAAAATAAGTAATGTACAATTTTTACCAATAACACAGATATTATAAACTTTACTTGTATGCTTATAAGTGACCTCGTTAACCTTAGCCCAACATGCACCAAGTAAAAGGATCTAGAAGCAAACTAAAGATCTACAAGGACGAATGAATAATAGCTCCGTTTGGAGTCTGTTAGTCAAAAAATTAAAAAAATCAAGCCGTTAAAAATTGGCTCCTCAAAACAGCTAGGTGTACAAGAGTCAGAAAGAGCATCATAATTATCTAGAAAGTAAATGCGTACCTTGCTGAAAAGTTCAACAGGAGGATTATGATGAAACCAATTCTCTGTTTGGAAATTAATTTCCTGTGGCATAGTTAAAGCATTACGAGTTATGAAAATCGTAGAATTATCAACTGTATTAAATAACTACCATAAAAAAAAAAAAATTTAATGTCCTCCCTACCATTGGGACTGTAGTTTCCCTCTTATCGGTTATGGAAACTCCAGTATCACCCCTACTCGACAATATCTGCATGACACAAAAGATTAATTTACTTTCTAGAAGTTTGAGCAGGTTTGGCTAAGCTAAGCTTTACAAAATGTAAAGTCAACTTTCTGTTCCAAACATTTTGGACACATTAATTTTTCTTTTCAACCAAAAAAGTTACTTGAAAAATAACTCCTACATTATTGTCAAAATAAGGGACCTGGTCCCAACTTTGATCAATAAATAACATCTCCTTCTTTTAAGTTTATTTACTTAGCTTAGCTACTCGCACTCTTTATAAAATTCGAAGAATATGTGGTCTCCAGTAGTCTACCTTCTTGTTGAGGGGAAGAGCTTTGAAGCAGTAAGATGGCTCAAACCCTTCCTGCCTTGAAGCATGTGAAACATTGAGTCTGACAAAGAACGTGATTCAAATAAGCACA